GGTGTAGACTGAGTATGAGTGTTAGATAAATAAGTGTATGAGTGAATAAATAGTGTGTGTTCCACAGTTATTGTCAAGTGTTCATGAGCTGAGGGAAGTGAGGGAAGAAACTTTTCCTGTGTCTACCAGTTCTGGTGCTCAGAGCTCTGTAGCGTCGAAACAGTTCAAACAGTTCAAAGAGGGAGTGTGCTGGATGTGAGGGGTCCAGAGTGATTTTGCCAGCCCTTTTGCTCACTCTGGATAAGTACAGTTAGCTGAGCTGAACCAGACAGTTATAGAAGTGCAGAGGACGGAGGCTGGATTCAATGAAAATGGAGGATAGCATGGGCATCCATCTCCAAAATTCTCTGTAAAAGACAAAATAACATGTAGATCAGTATATGCACAACCCAATAGCTTGACTTGGTAGGAGCAAGTCTGATATATTGGAGAGTGTTGCATGTATACCTCCACAAAGTCATGTCGAAGGTTCTTGACTCGGTTAGTTCCTTTCAAATGGGTTAGGGTTTCATTCTCAGTTGATTTCTCTGGAGGACACGATGTATTGTTGAGGGGCTCACAGCATTTATGTTAGCAAAAATTGTGGCATCATTAAGGATATGATTGCATATTTCACGAATTCTTATAGCATTATTGGCCAAAACCAAATTCACGATAGCCGTCTCTTGCTCTTCAGTGAACTTGTGACCTCGCCCACCATGAAACCTTTGCCTTGCTACTCTGTAGAAGATTCAAGAATAGTGTGAGTGTGTGTCGTAAACTGTAACATAATACATACTATTTTATACAATATAGTCAGAATGTCTTCTTACATTGAGCTGTACTGTTGTACAGTATGATAACCTACCAGACTGTGACCAATTGTACAGTGCACTACAGTAAATGGATGCATGGGTGCTAAAATATATGTATTATAGTATACCGTATGTTATGCTGAAATAGCTATTATGTGTACATTAGAACATGTACATTACAGTAAATTGTTATGTGTTGTGTTTTGCAAAAAGTGTTTTATGAAATTGAAAACTGAGTCAAAGGCCAAAAATTAGCGTATGGTTTTGCAGATTTGGTGTGTGGTTCTGCTGTTTGAGTGTCAGGTTTCAGAAATTGTGTGACAAGTAAAGATTTGGTATGTAAGCAGTTGAAAAAAACTGTAATTGCACAGACACTATTGGACCACTTTCTAAACAGAGTTATTAGATGAATGAAATATTGAGCAATGCAGGGATGCATATTACATGGTACCATTTGCTGATTCATTTACTTATTAATAAGATCTTGTAGAGAGTGGTGTTAGTAAAAAATCATATCCAGGCTCCTTCGTCGAATCCGCCGCCTCTGCTCACTCTAACCCTCCAGCCGTTCCTCACGCTAGCCCTCACTGCTCACTGTAGGCCGCCGCCGCTCACTCTAGCCTCGTTTCATTGTGAACGCGAAACTACTTTGTTTGGTCTTCCAAAAATGGACATGACTAGAAATCAGTGGTTAAGTTGTATTTACAACACTGTTCCAGAACAGTTTAACCCAAATATTCAGATGTGTGCAGCA